GGGGGGGGGGGGCAGGTGAACAGGCACGTTGGAACAACAGTGGGGACATGTAATTGACCACTGTCAAACCAGTGTAAGTTTCTTGGTTTCTCATGGAAAACATTTTATACACCTATTTTTTTCCTTCCATACTTAAGTTCATCAGTGTCCAGATACATCCGTTCCATTTTTGTCTGGTTTTTCCTGGTGATTTTAGAACATAATATTGCATTTATTCCAATTCCTGCCCCATGTGGAAAAATTAGATGATTTCAAATACTTTCTTCAGCTCCACAATAAGCTGCCAATCACTCTTCTGCATCTCATCTCTGAACCAGTCTTTGAGGGCATCAATGGACTGCCGGCTGATCTGCAAGCCCAAGGCACAAACAGGGTCAGCAACAGTGTAACAACCACATGTCCAAAAAAAGCAGTGTGGCCCATGCCTGTCATCGGCTACTGCTCATTAAAAAGAAACCTTAGCCAAAATACAATACAGTGCTCGTCTGCCTTTTAGAGTAGCAGACTCTCTGCAAGTCCTGACGGGCACTCTCTGGGAGGAGGCCCCTTCCTCAACAAAGACAAGGCCACATCACAGACCTGCCCTGAGGAAGAATCCAGTCCTCTCAGACTGTAAAAGTTCAAACTTCCAGCCCTCAGAGCTACTTCGTAAAGGTAACCAGAGAAGAGTCGACCCCCCTCTTCCTTAAAATGGGCCACTTTTAGGAGACACTTACCTTACTGACAAGAATGTCTGTAGCTTCAAAATGTCTTCCATACATTTTGGGAGATTCCCCAGGGATAGGTTCTATTTTGACACAGACTTCTTGTCCTTTTTTTGCAACATCCACTTGTTTATGGTTTATTTCAATACTTGTGACTATTCCAATGTCAACAAACTGTAAAATAAGAACTGCAATGTAAGCAGAGGAGTCCTGCCAGTCAGAGGCACTGCAGCTGGACAGCAGAAATAAAAACAAGCCAACAAGCCAGTTTAAGTGCCTTGGCTCTGTGACCCTTCTTTAGCACTCATCACACTGTGTGTGACTTCCTCATTGGGAAGCCAGGGAATGACACCACCACATCCCCTCTGCCCATCACAAGATGGCTTGTGAAGCAAGAGGACTCATATGCTTTCGACAACTTGGAAAGTGCCCTGTCAACCCAGCGTGCCTTACTACTTCTGCTCTATCCTTTCACACGACACGTGCCATAGGAAGAGGGCGTGCCAGGCACAAACCTTCTCAATGAGAAATGAGCTTGGAGTGGTCAGAATGATGAGCAAGGGGTTTAAGTCAGGGACACATGATGTGGGGCCCTGTAGGCCAAGGTCAGAGGATGAGCGCTGGGAGCAAGCTGAGCTCAGTTACAGTGCAGGAGAAAAGCACTCCACTGCCTGCCTTGTCAAGAGATACGGGAGAGTAAGAGTGAAAATGAGAGGAGTGCTTGGTGTGGCCAAAGCCACACAGGACATAACTGCTGCAAGCAAATGTCCCACCTCAGTCCACTGAAATGGTGTAAAAGCAATGACCCCTAGAAGCAACAAGTCCTAGTGCGCCATTTCCCACTAAAGGAACCAGGTCTGGGGCAGGGAAAGTACTAGATGAGCCTGGAGCATCTTCCTGCACCAGAAAGGAAGAAAATGCTCAAGTGCTGAAGTAACCAGCTCGAATGGGCTCGCACTGACCAGAATGGATACTGGTAATGGATTAGAACATCAAATTTTTTAAAAAGGGAGTGTGTATAAATTACTTAATGAAAAGTTCAGTGGGGAGGAAGGTTCTTTACAAAAGTATGGGGGGGAGGGGCAGATCACAATGTTACCAACATTTGTGTAACTGCCTTCAGCAAGGATTACCAGTTACTAAATCTACCAAGATAAAGGTTGTTGAAACATATTTACAGGTACTCAAAAGTGCCCCAGACATGACAGTAATTATACAGGGAGAAAGATGTGTTTCTAAGAGCGATGCTGAGCCAACAGCACCTGCCCCAGGAAACGAAGATGGCCTCGCCACAGTAAGAAAGCCTATGTGATGGGGCTGGAGGCAGGTGGGAACACCTGTGCATGCAGTATCTGTTTCAACAACTGTAACTTCCACCTGGCGAGGAGGAAACAATCAGACCAATCCAAGTTGAGAAATAACCTGCAAAACAACTGGACTCTCCAGAAAGGATGGGGGGCTGGGCCTATTGAGACTAAAACCTGTAACAACCAAACGCAATGCACCTTGAAGGAATCCTGGACCAGGTCAGCAGATGGCACTCTGCAGGACACTTGGGACAGTTGGGGAAATGTGAGTGAGAACTGTAAATTACAGGACATTACTGAGTTAATGTTAATTTTTCTTAGGCAGATGCTAATCTCGAGGAAAGGAATATGGGTGTTCATTATTCTACTCTTTAAACTTCTCCCCAGGCTTGAAACTTCAAAACATCTTTAAAAGGGCACTATTTCAAAGTACCTTGCACCTTTCATTTGCTGAAGCACTGATCGCTGGTGCTAAGAATCAACACTGGCACTCCTTACTGAGGTATAAATCACAGAAGGTGACAAGCTCTGCCTTTCGTCACCACTCCTGGACTCCCCATTTTATCCCTTTAAGAGACCACACTTAAGTTTTGAAAGTACAACCAAAACTTACATTTTTGCTAGGGACGCACATGGGTGTCCCCTGTTTCACCTGACCTGCTTCCACAGTCACTCCCATCACTATTGGGTCTCGAGAATTAAAAATATACTGGGGGAGGATTTTCATCTTGCAGGGAAATACTGCTATGTGCCTAAAAGGAAAAAAGAAAACCCCAAAATTTTGAAGCTGACAAAACCACTTAAACATAAAAAAACCCAAACACGAGTGAGTATGAGGCTTCCCCCGTTGGAGAACAGCAGCACTCCCCAGGCGGTGCGGGCAGAGCAGGGCGCACGCTGCAGACAGCCCTCAGTGTGTCTGCACCGGTCCAGGCCACCCGCATGGAGTGCTCCACCCCTCGCCATCCTCCTCCCCTCCCTCCATCCCTGCTGTCACTTCCCAAGTCTTAAAGAAGCCGTATCACAGGAGCACTGAGCCCTGCCCCTAAATTTAGATGGAGCTTAGAACCTTGACGGGCCCCACGGGCAGCCTGCTCTGAGACCCACACAGGCATCAAACCACAGCCACCTTCTCCGTACCACATTCCCGAATCAGGTGATCCAAAAGGCCACTACTTCTCTGCTTACCAAGCACGTGCTTAAGTGTTTTCACAGGGTCTGGCAGTCTGCTTTAACCACGTCTTTTCACTTCTGGTCTCATGATTTCAAGCGAGCGTATCCCAGTCTAAATCCTAACACTCATCTGGCAATTCTCCTTTAAATACGTACCCCAATTTGAGCCATCACTCCCTATGGTCTGAGCCACCCTCATGTCTTGCCTGGAACACTGGGAGCCTGACAAGACGCCCCGCTGCCTCCCTCAGATCCTCCCCAGGGCCTACAGAGTCCCACCAACTTCTCTGACCCCATCTCCTACCGCTCTCTGTCAGATTCAACGCGGCTGCCTCCCAGTGCTGCCCTTCTGCCTGGACAACTCCCCGTGGGTCTGGGCGGCTCACCCCATGCCCTCCAGATCTCTACTTGAATGGGAGACCGACAGAGCTGAGCTGCTGCCCCGGACCACACTGCTGGTCATGGCTCTCCTCCTGACTTAGGCCTTCCCTGCTCTGCTCTGCAGCCCTTACCCTACTTCTCATGTGTTCACTGCTTGTCTCGCCTGAGCTGCAAGAGGAGGAGGGACCTGGCCAGGGTCATTGCTGACTCGTCTAGCACGCGCAGCGATGCCACCTACACGGGGCAGGCTCTCCTCCCATGGAATACCTCACCTCATTGCAGTTCCTCACTGTACACATTCGCATTCTGATCCTTCCTTCCCAGGTAATCCAGATAAGAAACTCCAGCAAGAGGGTTTTAGCGACTACTTACCAATTAATGAGACCCAGGCCCACCAATTTGAAAATTAAAAACTGCAAGGCTACAGAGGATTAGTTAACACACTGCTGGAATGCCTCAGATGGGCAGAATTTATGGTTTTTAATACATTATTTCAGGATGCAGCCTCTTCTGGATGAGCAAATGCCATGCTGCTTCTATCGGCCACAAACCTATCTGGTATAGGTATTCCCCCACATGGCCAAAGTTCGCCTGATGCCACCTTGCTTTTGCAACAGACCTATGTTAGTACCTGCTTTCCCTCACCAAAAGAGGAGGATTTTGCTCTTACGAAAAAAGGTAAAAAGCAAAAACGTTTAGCATTTGTTTTGCAGTGAGCCATTAAGAGGCAGCGGGCACCCCAAACAGAGCGGCCGCGCCAAGCTTCTTCCCAGGGACCACACTCAGCATCTCAGCGTCACGCCGCCAGAGCTGGGAGCTGTGTCTGTGAGCATCTGGGCTTCACTTCGATTTATTTTGTTTATTGTTTGGGCCCGGGAGTGCTCAGAAAATTTTCCATATAAATTAATGGTAATTGCTTCTTCACGCTATGCCATTTCGCCTCATGGAAGGTTTCACAGAAACGCTTTACTTTCAGGATAGCGGGAGAAACTCATACTTGGTAATTCTCAACCAACTTCATTACCAAAGACCCAAAGTAAGTAAAATGACCAACTTACTTAAATTCTTCTTGTTTCTGTTTCTTGTAGTCTTGTCTATATTTCGTAAAGGCATCAAATAAATGATAAATAATCTCTGCACTAAAAATTCTAACTCCTAAACTATCAGCCATTTCTTGTGCATCCCGTTCAATTCTCACATCAAAGGCCAAAATTACTGCATACCTGAAAGGTTCAAACACAATAAAGATCATTCGGAGAAACACAGAGTGTGTCATGGAGTCTGAAGAAAACAGGTAATATGAAAAAGCCTTCACAGCAGAAGAAAAATCACTTACTGGGGATCATGTTCCAGCATCACCGAAGCCTTCATAACATCTTTTTTATGGACTGGACCAATGTTAATTCCTGCATACTGTAGAAAGGGAGTTTCTGAGCTTAAATGCCTGTGTCCGGGAAAAGAAACCGCACTACAAACCATGACTATCACAGACTCCTGTGGAGTCGGGTAGGATTACTTACGGGCACTTCTGATGTTTTTAGAAATTCAAGTAGAGCTTCCAAAGATCCCAGTGTAGATGCCTGGACATAGACTCCTTTTTCTTCCAACTTGATAGCATTTAGTGTCTGCTTTAACTCATGGATCAACTCATCCTTGAAAAGAAGTTAAATGTGACAAGGTTGTAAACCAGCAATGGCCTAGAATTAAACTGTGTTTCTCTTTTTAGTGAAGTATTCACATGAAAATATGAAACCAAGGCTAAGAAAACGTAAGGTGTAGCAGAACCTGTGCTGGAAAGGAGGAGGAGATTTAGGAGCCGAATCTGAGCTGTGTCCCACACTTCACCTTTGTCTTAGGTTTACTAATATGGAAATCTATTTAACCTCTGCTGTACTTGGCAAATAAGGTAGCTGGGTGAACAGAATGAAACGAGAAGAATCTTTTCAAAATTAAAAGGACTACATCAGTGTAATGTGTTACGGTAGCCCACGGGCTCTGCTTGACTGCCTTCACTGAAATGCCCTAACCTCGGCGTCCTTTTCAAAACTCTGTCACTGCTCCTTCAGAGATGAAGAGATTTCCCCCAGGAAGAAGTAGGACAGCCGTGTCCAAGCCATGGAGGACGCAGCAGTCCCTGCCATAGTTGGGCCTGACCAAAGAGGGATGCCTGCCCTCTCCTTACTGGCCCTCCCCTCAGGTGGCCAACTCCCTGATGGTGGTGACCTGGTGCCGTCTGAGGAGTAACAGGAGTCCCAGCATACGAGATGAGCCAATGTGTTCGGGGGAGTGTCATCTTCTCTTCGGCAAGTGAGTATATAAACTCAAAGTTTGCTTTTGGGAAACTATGCTGGACTCCAGTGGGCATCTGCTCCTACAGACAGGCACACAAGCTTTAAAACAACTCCTACTTCCTTGTAAAATTTTCTTGAGTTCTGTCGGCATATTCGGATACCTAAAAACATGAACAACAAATTCTGGGCTTTTGATTCGTTTTTTCTTTAAATAAAACGTGTATTTTAGAATTCTAGTGTATATAAATATTACTTATGCTAATTCAGAGGACTGTGCAAACTGAAGTAATCTAAACGCATCAACTGTTTGCTATGAGCCACCAGGTAAGGCTTCACAAAGACAGTGGTGCCCACTTCACTCATCACTACCAACATGTGCCCTGCTGGTGTGTCAAACTCACACAGCTTCGGAGGAAAAAAAAAATTTAAGTAACTTACTTTAAGAACTGGGATTTCATCTTCTTTATAAGCCACCAGGAGGGGTAAACCAGCCAATGTCTTCTCTAGGTCTTTTCCAAGAATCTTTACTCCCTGAGCTGCTTCTACTTCTTTATGCTTTTCATACTGGTTCTGTAGAGATCAAAACATTTGCTACCACATTTATCTGAAAAGTGGTTAGGAGCAGGAGATGATGTAAGAGACCATATTTTCATGACCATGGGGTAGGAAAATTTTTCTTAAAGTAGCCACAAAAAGCAATAAACACAAAAGATTGGTAAATTCAACATTAAAATTAAACACTTCTGTTTCTTAAGACACCATAGAAAAGGTAAAAAGACCAGAAGATGCTGCGATGCATACAAGCCACTAACAGTCTAGTCTCCCGACTATACAGACCACTCCCGTTACTATAAAGACAGACAATGCTGGACCACGGGGACATTGCATGAAGGAGTGAACTTAAATGGCTAATAAACATACAAAATAATGGCCAACCATATTTCAATCAGGTAAGTACCAAATGAAACAATGAGCTACCAGATGGAAAAATTTTAAAATCTGACAGGATCAAAGAGCTGACAGTTGTGCAACCCTAATATACTGCAGTTGAAAGTGTAACTTGTTGGACTCACTGTGAACAACAGTGTGGCCTTATCCAGTAAAACTGGAGCTGAGCACAAGCTAAGGACTTAGCAATTCACTCCTAGGCACATACCCTGCAGAAACTTGCACAACTGCACCAAGAGTGTTCAAAGCAACAACACTGTTGTTAATAGCAAAAATTTAAAAGCTAGAGATACCCTACATGTGCCATCAACAGGAGAACAGATAAATAAACCATGATATATTCATGGAGAATACCACACAACAAAAATGAACTACAGCTATATGAAACAACATGGGTAAATCTTAAAAGTCTTTTCTTTTTTTTTTTTTTTTTTGAGTTAAAAGAAGCCAGATACAATGGAAATGAGAACGACTCTACTTTATGAAGTCCATACATATTTTTTAGGGGAACACACTCAGGTATTAAAACCATTTTTAACAAAGGATATCAGTTACTCTCATAAACATGGAAGCACGGTTAACTTTTAGGAAGGTGTTGGGAGGGGGCGCTAACATCCGTGAGAGGCACACAGGCTTCCGGGGTGTCAACAATGTTCTATTCTTCATCTGTTTGTCTGCTTCCTAAAAATTTGTTCAACTCTTCCTCTATGTTTTGTGTAGTTTTCTGTATTTGTTTTATTTCATAATAAAAAAATGTGAATAAAAAACTAGTTGGCAGTTTAGAACCAAAACAATATACTTCAGTTCTCATGGAAAGCTTAGATAAGAAGAACTTGACACTTGTCCATTCTGACAGATGATCCCTTTATGAAGACATCTAATAGAGGCTGAGGAGCAAGGGCCTATTAAGCCAAGCAGCTGTGAAGTGAAGAAGTGACCTCAACAGAACTCATACACACTGTACATGTCCCCATGTGTCAACACTTACCACCTAGGCTTACCTTCACCCGTAATTCCTTCATTGGAGGAGGTAATAGGAGGCCTCGAATCTGAGTTACAATGGGCCCCTCTACTCCAGGAACAATAATTGTATCTCCTTCCTTCAAACGCCCATTGATCAGTATCACATCTATAGTGGTGCCCATTCCTGGGAGAGCCTTAACCTGAGAGACATAGTATAAAGGGAGTGAGAGAGAGACTACACTATAGCAGGAGACAGCCCCCAGCCCAGAACTCACTGTTAAAGGCAAAGGAAAAATAAACTCAAAAGCTGATCCTCACCTCCATAACCTGTGCTCTTAGCTCCTCACAGTGTGCAAGTCTCTTGCTCAACATAGTCTGAGTTAACTCAACAAGAAGGTAGATCAGACTTCCCATGCCATCACCAGTATGCGCAGAGGTAGGTACCAAGGACACAAAAGTACGGGGATCCTTATTCTCATAAAACAAAGCTGCATTCAAACCCTAGAGACATAAAAAGCAAAATCATTCCAAAAGGCCAAGCTGTGGAAGGAAGTACCCAGGACAGCACGACTGATAAGACGACAGATAAGCAAATAGCTCCTCTTTGTGAAACTCCTCAAAAACACTCAAGAGATCATGAATATCCTGTAGGTATTAGTTGTATCACAGAAAAGTAGTTTCTTTCCAAGTCAACTTTATTTTTTTTTAGTTTATTTATTTTAGGGGGAAGGGGCAGAGGAAGAGAGAGAACCTCAAGCGGACTCCCCACTGAGCGCAGAGCCTGACACAAGGCTCGATCTCATAACCCTGAGATCATGACTTGAACGGAAATCAAGAGTCAGACGCTTAACCAACTGAGCTACCCAGGTGCCCCTCCAAGTCAACTTTATTTTTAAAATTTAAACATTCAGGGCGCCTGGGTGGCTCAGTCGTTAAGCGGCTGCCTTCGGCTCAGGTCATGATCCCAGGGTCCTGGGATCGAGCCCCACATCGGGCTGCCTGCTCAGCGGGAAGCCTGCTTCTCCCTCTCCCACTCCCCCTGCTTGTGTTCCTGCTCTCGCTGTCTCTATGTCAAATAAATAAATAAAATCTTAAAAAAAAAAAAAGTAAAATTTAAACATTCAGACTACAAAGACAGATCTTTGAAATACTATCTAATTTAAAAAGAAAAAAAGGGATAAGGGAAAAGAATGGAGAACACTACATGCCATTGATAAGGGAACAGAACCAGCATTAGTGAAACTGCTGGCTTTATTATAAGGACAACAGAACAAAAAGAAAAAATATTCTATGATATAGGCTCTTCAAGGGAAAGTTTTCTTACCTGCTGTGCAAATTCCACAATAATAGCCTTTGCTCGCTCCTCAAATTCATCTTTTGTATTCTTTTTTTGCTTCTTTAAAGTAGCAGCCACGTCAGAATCGGGGCTCTTTTTCCAATCATACAACCTATCAATCTAGACAAAAATTTTTCGTTAAGAAACATCTTTAAAACATTCAGAACACTCAGGAATTAATTAAAGTTAAAACTCCTAAAAGTTCCTAATGTCTATTATATACATTCAGGAGAGTGTGAATTACTCAAATATTTTATTATACCAAAAAGCTTGTATAACCCGCCTAACTGCATCCCCTCTTAAATTAGAAACTTCTGAGGTAACATGCTGCCCATCAGCCTCCAAACCAGTTCAGGAAAGGCTGCCATTTGCTTGCAAAAGATGAGATCTTAGAATTATCTTAGGACTATTACTGTATTTTGTTGGAATTCCAAAATGGTTCTGTTTAGTAGTCAGAAATAAGAATTACAGCAAGTATCATCACCAGGAAAATTATACACCAAAAAAATAGAAAATAAAAATTACATCCTATCTCAGAGAACAGCCCATTTTAATTGTTTTACTGCTCAAATTAGATTTACTGAGTTAAATAAGTCATGTATTTTCCTTCACTTTTCAAAAGTGTGATAAATGGGTATAGGGAGGAAAAACTATTTAATAGTAAAAACAAACAAGCAAAATCTGTTTCCTCAGTCTAGGGCTACAATATAAGGAGGCTGCCCGAACCTGAATGCTACAAAGGAGAAAAATTAGTTAGTAGAAATAGACCCAGAAATGACAAAGATGTTATAATTAGCATATGAGGTCCTTAAAATAGTTATTATAAATATATGTGACTTTATAGGAAAAATATGAAACCTGTAGTAGAACTAAAAACCACAGAATATGAAAAAAAATTCACTGGATAAGCTTAACAGCAAATTATATATTACAAAAGAAAAGACTGAAAGCCTTGAAGATGTAGCAGTAAAAACTATCCCAAGGGAAGCATACGAAAACAGCATGAAAGAAAACCTTACTCACTTACAAAAAGTATCTGAATTTTTAAAATTTTTAAAATTGATGAATATATAAATTCAAAGATCTAAGAAAATCAAACTAAAGTAGGATAAACAAACTATTACATAATCTCAATGATGAACGCTTAAAAGTTCTTAAAAGCAAAGGAAAAGGAAGACACATTCACACAGGGAAACAAAGGATAACTAAAGATAAAAGCCATAAAGCAATGATGATGAAGGAAAAAAATATTTTTTAAACCTCTAATTCTGTATCAAGTAAAAATATTCAGAAAATAATTTGACCTTAATGATATTAAAAGCACAACATACCTAAGCAGTGCTTTTTTTTTTTTTTTTTAAGATTTTATTTATTCTAGAGATAGTGAGTGAGCACAAATGGAGCAGAGGGAAAGGGACAAGAAGACTGCGCTGACCACAGAGCCGGACTCAGGCCTCAATCCAACAACCCTGAGAGCACAACCTGAGCGGAAATCAAGAGTCAGATGCTTAACCGACTGAGCTACCCAGGCGCCCCTAAGCAGTGCTTTTAACAGTGTGCTAAACATACCCTTAAATACTTCTATTAGACAAGAAAAAATATCTGAAATCAACAATCTAAAATTCCACCGTAACTTAGAAAAAGTAGACATGAAAACCAAAGCAGAAAGAAGGAAATGATGAAATTAACACTGGATATCAATGAGATATAAAACAGACAAACAGTAGAGAATATCAATAAAACAAAGAGCTGGTTCTCTGAAACACAAATTTCTATACGAATTAAAGTAAAAAACCAAAATAACCTGTACCTGTTTAAAAGAGATTCTATGCAGATGGGGCTTCCTGGTGAAATCTACCATAAACACTTAAAAGAAATTCTATCATTTCTATACAAACTCTTTCAGAAAATAAAGGAGGATACACTTCTTACTTCATCTTACAAGGCAACATTACTCTGATGATAACAAAACTAGACAAAAGACGTTACAGGAAAGGAAAACTATATAGCAAAATCACTCATGAATACAGACACAAAAATCATCAACAAAAACTTATCAAATCAAATCTGGCAATATATGAAAGAGAGAAAATACATCATGATCAAGTAGGGTTTATTCTAGTAATACAAGGGTTGGTTTAACATTTAAAAATTCAACAGTAATCAACAAATGGTGCTGGAACAACTGGACATCCACACGCAAAAAAAACTGAATCTAGGCATAACACAGGCCCTCCATGTTACAAAAATTAACTCAGAATAATCACAGACCTAAATGTAACATACAAAACTCAAACTCCTAGAAGAAGAGAAAATGTGATGACCTTGGCTGTGGTGAGGACTGTTTAGATACCACACCAAAGGCATGATCTTTGGAAGAAAGAATCCAATAAGCTGAACTTCATTAAAATTAAGAACCTCTATGAAATAGTGAGTGAGTCTAGAGAGTAAAATAAGAAGCCAGACTGGGAGAAAACATGTGCAAAAGACATCTGATAAAGAAGTTGTATCCAAAACATATTAAGGACTCTTAAAAAATAAAACAATCCAATTTAAAAAAGGGCCAATGAATTTGACACCTCAGAAATGGCAAATAAGCACATGAAAAGATGTTCCACCTCTTATAGAACATCTTAAGGAAACACAAATTAAAACAATGAAATACTACCTCATACCTATTAGAATGGCCAAAATCCAAAACAGAATACCAAATGCTGGTCAAGATGTAGAGCAACAGGAATTCTCAATCACTGCTGGTGGGACTGCAAACTTAAAACCACTTGAGAAGAGTCTGGCAGTTTCTTCCAAAACTAAACACTATTACCATATAATCCACCATCACACTCGTTGGTATTCACCCAGAGGAGGTAAAGACATATGTCCACACACAAACCTGCACAGGGAGGTTTACAGCAGCTTCATTCATAACTGCCAAACTTGCAAGCAACCAAGACGCCCTTTAATGGATGAATGAATAAACTCTAGTGCATCCAGACAATGGAGTTATTAAACAAAATGAATAATGAGCTAAAAGTAAAAAATGAGCCATTAAACCATGAAAACAGATGGAGGAAACTTTAATTCCTATTTTTAAGTAAAAGAAGGTGACCTGATAAAGCTTACTGTAGAATACTGTACAATACCAACTATATGACACTCTGGAAAAGGCAAAACTATACAGACAGTAAAAAGATCCGGGACTTTTTTGCTAGGGATTGGGAGGTGGGGGAACAAACAAGCAGAGCAGAAAGATTTTCAAGGCAGTAAAAATACTCTATGATACCAAAATGATGGATACAGGTCATTATACATTTGTCCAAACCCACAGAATGTACAACACCAAGAAGTAAACCATGGACTCTGGATGATGGTAAGTCAATCTAAGTTCATCAATTATAACAAATCTATCACTCTGATGTGAGAGGGAAGGTGCTGATAATGGGGGAGACTGTGCCTGGGGGAGGCAGGGGTAGTGGGAAATCTCTGTACCTTCCGTTCAACATTGCTGTAAATCTTAAATGGCTCTAAAAAAGAAAAAAAAATAAAGTCTCAATAATAAAAAGTTAGTAAAGTCCCCTCAAAATATCAACATTAGTTCATCTTACAGAAGAGAGGAAAAGCCACATAAATATCTCAAGAGATGTGGAATAGCCATCTGACAAAAATCAACAACTCATGACTTAAAAAAAAAAAAAAAAACCACACAAGTAACACTTTAAACAACCTATGACTGACTGCATATGTAACGGTGAAAGACCAGCTACTTCCCCTAAGATGGGGCAAAAAGCAAGGTGTCTGTCATTACTTTTATTCTACATTGTTCTAGAACGTCTAGTTAGTGCAGTAAGGAAGAAGAAAATTTACAGAGCACACACATGAAAGTAAAACAGCTGTTATATGCGCAGATAATTGTGCAGATGGAAAATCCCACATGACCTACAAAACTAAGCTACTAGGCCTAACCAGTTAATTTAATAAGATCACAAGATTAAAAATGAATACATAAAAATCAACTATATTCCTATATAAAATTAAAATTAGAAATCTGAATTTTTAAAATGGTATTTACAATAGCACCAAAACCATGAAATACTACAGATAAATTTAGAAAAATATGTCCAACACATGGACAGGGAAACTACAAAATATCATTAAGAGAAAATAAAGAACTAAGTAAATGTAGAGATATCATGTTCACTTATCGGAAGACTCAATTTTGATAAAATGTCAACTCTTATAGAATTTATCTACAGATTAAATACAACCCCAATAAAACTTCCAGAAGGCTTTTTGTAAAAACTAAGAGGCAGATTCTAAACTTAAATGAAAATTCAAGGACCCTAAAATAACCAAAACAGTTTTGAGTAATGAAACGTTAAAGAAATGACCACTACCTGCTTTCAAGACATTACTATAAAGCTATAATAATCAAGATAGGGTAGTAGTGGCATAAGGATGGATATATACGTCAATGGAAGAGAAGATAAATACCAAAAAGGGACATATATATATACATGGCTTAATTATTTTTCAACAAAGATTCAAAAGGAATTCAATGGAGAACTTCTGGTCTAAGATGGCAAGATGTAGGAAGACACTGAACTTACCACCTCCATGGACACACCAAATCTACACCTATTCACAGAGCACTGATCCTGAAGAAGAAGTAAGAGCTAACTGGAACAGCTTCTGCACAACAAAGACCACACAGAGAATGGCAAGAAAGAGGAAGACACAAAGAGAACCCCCATCCACAACACTGCGAACTGCTGTGTGGAGGGATAGTACTGAGGGACTGTGAGCAGATTCGTCTGCCCTGGGGTACAGAAAAAAAGCTGCGGTTTGAAAGGATAACTAGAATGTAAAGGAACCAGTTCTAGAACCGTAACAGCAGATGAACTGCTGAAACTCTCTCCAGGTACTGTCAAGAGTTACTTTCAAGTACCAAAGTTCACATTCCCCTCCACCCTGACAGCACAAACAGGGGCAAGGTCCAGGCACTCTAGCGGGCCCTCCAACCTCAGTGAGCCCTGAGTCCCTAGCCCACACCAGCCCAAGCCATCCCATCAAGGTGGCTCCAGTGCAATGCATACCAGGACATGCCTGGCCAGCCCTCACTA